ACAAGCCCCCCCTAAAAATTTTGAACGCTTGGACAGTTTAGAAGCCCCGGAGGCTTCTATTATGGGGGGGGGGGTTATTATCTAATGTAACCCGGTGGTCAATTTACTGGCCGATGCATCTAGATTCAAATAAATGCTTTACTCAATGCAACACATATTCTTCAATTTTTTTATACCATGAAGAGAGATAGACAAAAAGGTTAAAAATACAATAATTAGTTTCTCCAAACAGACTTACTAGCTCTCTTCTAGTTTCTCAAAAGATGAAAAATAGCAAAATTTATCCTTTTAGTTATGTTTGGTCTTGATTCTGTTTTTTTTTTATTAAAAGTTTTAAATCGTATTTTTATCTTATCCTGTTAGAAACAGGCACAATTTGAAGTTCATATAATGACGTCAACAATATTGAATTCTGGCGACAATGCCTGGGTAATTGATCTTTGTGTTTGGCAAACACTTGTATTCTGACTTTTTACTTCGCTATTTTAGATGCTGACTTCGACAGCATTAGTTTATATGATGACACCAGCACTGGCTTTTTTTTACGGTGGTCTTGTTGAAAATAAAAATATTCTTAATCAATTATTTTTATCAATAGTTTGCATGGGTATAGTTACAGTACAATGGTGTCTATTTGGGTATAGTTTTACATTTGGTCCGGGAAATAATGCATTTGGATCATTTCAGTTCAGTGCATTACGCTATCCGTTTAAATTTTATGATGAAACCAATAATTCAACAATTTCCCCGTTAACATTTGTTTCTTATCAGTCGGCATTTGCTGTTATAACGCCAGCATTAATTAGTGGTATGATATCTCATCTTCTAAGAATAATTTTACTCCTCTCCAATAAGTAGCCAGAAAGCAGAATAAAGCGCATTGCGACTATAGCTACTAGTGCAGAATCTTGATAAATGTCTCGATATGTTCTGTGCAGTTGGCAACCTTCTCACATGGCCAGTCAAATCATTACTACTATCAACTGCAGCTATGACCAGGATACTAGTTTAAAGCAGAGTTCTATGCTCCAATTGCTTGAGCGACATACACACTCAGTAACCACAAAGTTACGAAGACTAATCGGAAGAACTGTATTGCATGTCCCAACAGAGTGATTATTCTATCGGACGTGATCCAAGGCACTGAGACCTAAGTAATTTACCTAAGGTTATTACACGAGTTGACGGTTCCAAGGTTCGAACACAACATCCTTGAAGTACGTGTTGAACAATAACTATCCAGTCATGCCGTCTTCGCCAACGGGTATATATGTTACAGGGAATGTAGGAAATCAGGAAATGTGTACATTCCCTGGGGAATCTGCACATTCCCTGACAGCGTTCAGGGAATTTGAGTATATGACATCGAAATTTCTCTTGGAATATAATAAATTCATGAATTATGTGATGTTTGATGTTAGAGCGGAGAAA